GGAAACCGCGCCGCCTGAAAAAGTTCACTAACTCCCACCTCGTTAACCGCAGAAGCGGTAGTGTATGGCATGGTGTGTGGGCATGCGGATATCTTAAGGACAGCGGACGATGGAAGCATCTGTGCACCAGAAATCGTTTTTCCGTTGGTCGTACGGTATCCACTCACCTTCTGCAGCGTCCTGGACGAAAGCTAATACATCCGATATCTTCAAGGAGAGCCTCGCTCGAATTACAAGGGTTCAAACCCGGGGGATTGGATCAAGCAAGTCGTCGCTATATTTTTGGATTCTGCGGCAATTGGTAAAGTGGGTTTTTACTGCTTGGTGAGACTACGTCCTGGCGAGTCGTTGGATACCGCGACTGCGCACATGGGGGCAAACAGAAACCTGCGGAACAAGGATAATTACGGTGACTGCAATTGGTCTCGGAAGGTTGAATCATCATCGTCCATCCGATGCCCCCCGTCGTTTAAATCTCGACGACGAGGACCAGATGCTACTTTCTGCTGCTAACTCTTTTTTGGGGTCGTCGGTGTGATTCCGATCATTCTAAAAAAAAGAATACGGAGGCCACGCAGGATCAGGCTTGAATGCCTGCTCTTTTTACAAGTACGAAGCAATGTCCGTGGTACCGTTTCTGCAGGGGTTTAGTATGGGCAGCAAATATGTTGGCGATGCTTCAGTGAAGACTGGTGGCCGTGATTATGGCAGTGGAAGGCCCCTGCTACAGATTCTTTTCATGGTTCCAGTTGGTGTTGGCGGTGTTGGCATGCAATAGAGTCCCACCTCCCGCGAAAAAAAGCCTATACCGTCGTCAAAGATTAATTGGAGCCCCAGGGGATGAGGACAAGGAAGGCACGCACAAACGCATTTCTGAGGCCTGGGCTGCACATCTGATTCTTGGTACTCGACCCTGCGACTCTCGTCTTAATGGTGCGTGATGTGGGGTTTATCCTCCCTCTTCTAAACCTCTACGTACCGCGCATTTGGTTTTGTGGTGGCGGACATGCGTGGGTGGACCATGGTACGGTGGCCGGTCCTCTCAGTTTTTGATACTTGCGTATTTTTTTTGCATGGCGTGGAACAATTTTGAATGCGCATTTCCCATTCATTGTGTTTATTGCGTCTATTTTTAAACATGAGCCTGGCGTCAACCCTGCTTATTTAATACGGTTCCTGGGGTGGGTGTGTCCGCCAAGGAAAAAATCTGAGCACGAAGATCCCTGATGCGCTCGACCACGTCTAAAACGCAGTCAGACGCACTAGCCCTCGTCAAGCATTGAAAATACCGTGGATCAATGCTCATAATCTTCGATGTTAGACAAGGACGAGAGTGTTGCGTACAGCGAAAAGCAACGGAAAATGAGCAGCCAGGGACAACCATCCTCTATTAATCTTAAACAAATGTGCCAAAAAGTTCGTCGTCAGTCCCGCAGCATTCCCGCAACCTTGGCGGTGACTTTCAACATCTGCGACACATCTGATGACGGGAACGTAAGAATCGTCAATGTAATCGCGGATGAGCCAAAAGAGAAACTTCCATCGTGGCCAAATGTCTACTTACATCCCCATTCATTATCGTACCACCCAATCACTTTAACCATAGTCCCATCCACAACCATAGTCGAAGGCGCATCAACGATACACGCCCTCGGATCATTCCGGAAATCCTCACTCACAAGCGGTCGTTCCTCGTACCCCAACGTCCCCTTCAACGCCCCGTTGGCAGCTTTGGCAAACAATTCATTCACCTCCACAACAGTCGTCGATTTCGCCACATGGAACACGGCATCCGTCAAGGACGCGTTGAGGAGAGGTACGCGAACGGCCATACCGTTGAGTTTGCCTTTGAGTTCAGGGAAGATGACGGTGATGGCTGTGGCGGAGCCGGTTGTGGTTGGGATGAGGGAGGTGAGGCAGCTGCGGGCGCGGCGGAGATCTTTGTGGGGTGCGTCGACGACTATTTGTGTGTTTGTCTGCGGATAGAAAGGGTTGTGGCGTCAGAAAACGGGGAAGTCGGGCATAGTGGGAAAAGGGCGTTGGAATCCGTACCACGCAATGTATTGTGGTCACGGTTCCTTGAAGGATCTCCAGCGATTCGTGAATGACTGCCAAGATACGCTCACTTAGTTCGATTGAATGGAAGGCAATGTGACGCGCGGTTTCTAACCGTAACACGCGTTTTCTAACCTTTCACCATTGGCGCCAAACAGTTTGTCGTGCACGACGCGGCTGTAACAATGTCAAACTTGGCAGGATCATACAATCCATCATTCACGCCCTGGAAAGTGTAAAACCAAGGCATCAGGTCAAAACAGACCAGACAAAATAGCGTCTGCACTTGCTGTTTGCCCGCAACTTGCCATGACAATGTTCAAAACCCCATCCTCCTTTACGGGACTCGACACAACCACTTTCTTAACCCCATGCGAAAAGTGCGGCTCCAGCGCCGCCTTGGTGAGGAACTTGCCGGTACACTCCACCACGATATCAACGCCGAACTTTTTCCAGGGGATTTGGTTGGGAGTGGCATGCTCCGTGAAAGAGATCTTGTGCCCGTCAACGACCAAAGCGTCCGCGTCCGTAGAAACCTCATGGTCCCAGATTCCCTTAATGCTATCAAACTGGGAACAAGCACCATTCCATGTTATTCCACATCACGGGTGCGACAAAGGTACCGCCGCTCCGCGCAAAAATACGCTCGCGTTGTCTTTTACCTTCAAGAGATGGGCGGCGGTTTCTAAACCTCCTTTGATTTCGTTTACATGGACGATTTGCATACTATGGCCCTTGTTTTCAGCAACGGCGTTGAAAAAGGCCTTAAGGAACAACCGGCCCATGCGGCCAAAGCCATTGATGCCGACGCGTACTGGGTTGTTGGACGCAGTGGACATTATTTGATTGAAAGCGGGTGGTGATAGGAAGGACAAAACAAAACTGCTTGGGAAATGTGAATACGTTGGTGGATACGTTTCTTTCTGCCTCGTACTTATAAGCTTATAAGTTCGGCCAGACGGTACCGAAGCGCGTCGTCCAATCGGGTCCTGTTGCTGATGATGCCCAAAAATTCATTTCTCGTTCCAGCCAATCGCGTCGCGTCACTGATGATGTGGGTATCCCATCCCTCTGGTCGGATACCCATTCCTCGTTCCTATAAACTTACGGTGATCCCCAATTCACCACGTCGAATTCCGCCGACTATATATTATAAAGAAAAGGAACCAAGACGTGAGAAAAATCCTTTGGTGCGACCACAGTTTGTGCTGGGACGGCCGAAATTGGTAGCCCAAACAACGGGTGACCCGCCACCCCATTTTTCATTCACTAGCGACTAACGCACGCCCGCAAAAGCACCAATGAACAGTTTGTATATAATGTATAATGTAAAGCGCCTCATTTCAAGCTGTATGGAGACAAGAATGAGAGTTTGTAATTTAAAGCGATATTTTCACCGCCGGCGGTTTGTCGCCAGGTGGATAATCGTTTCCTGCTTGGTGCTTTCGCGTATATCTTCTGCAGGGTTGATGCGCCAGTTGTTTGGTGTCGCATTGCTCTTTACCTTAGCGCAGCAACCGAAGCGTCTTCGGGTGCTGTCATCGGCTACTTGTGGGTGAACAGTCTTTTTTGGGCGTCCGCGAAAGATCTGGTCAAATTGGCGGGAAAGTCGGACACAAAGCTGGTAGCCACAGACGTTGCAGGGGCCGCCTCGCCATTGGTTCATCTCGTAGCGTGGATGACGGGGGAAAACGTCTGTGCCAGGAGTCGGATTTCTCGTTGGCCCCGTACTCTTCAGTTACGCGTAACTTTGGCCCACCCTCCCGGCCCTTGCCAATCTGTGCGTTGCGAGTATTCCGCATCCTGCCCCTCGATGTACCCCTCGGGGTCTCAAAATCCCTACCTTCTCTGTCCAGCAACGGATTGTACTCTATTTTGCGGGCATCCTGCCAACCCTGTCTCAAATCGCCGTGAAATCCGGTTCTGACGTTTAAGTGACATAGAAGGCCCCTTCTCGACTTCTCCAGTAGTACATTGGGGCGGTCGCCTCATGCGGTGGGGACCTACGTTGATGGAGACGCGTCGTCCTGACGAGGAGACGTTGTTTTACACTGTTGATCCGGGTGATGTGGAGTATTCTGCGCGACTGGCTGGGATTACTGCCGTGCGTTTGATTTGATGGTCAAAAAATAGTTTCCGGAGTCGCTATGCCGTATTTTTTAGACGTGTTGAACCCGATGAGATTGGAACTGAATTCTACCATGTGTGTTTGGCATCCACGTTCCCCGTGTTTACCTTTACATTTTCCGGCGTGATTGAATATCTGGCACTGGGCATGGGCGCCTCCTCACGCCATTTGCAACTTAGATGTGGATTACATTTGGGGCAATGACAGACGTACATATCGGGGACGTTGGGATGCAGGATTGACACGGCCGGGACCTGTGCTTGCCGGTTACCCCGCGCGAATGCCTCAACGCTTTCGCCCGGCCGGACCAAAATGCCCTCGCGGGGTGGAGCGGACAACGTCAACAGCCATGTATTTATCATATGCGTAGCACCTTTTCACCACTTCTCAAGGAAAGGGGAAAAGGCTTTTTTACCCTTGTTCTTTTTTTCCTCCGAATCACTGACTCCGTATACGGTATTGAAATAGTCAGTTTCAAGCATGTTTGCATTGGGCGGGTGCTGACTGGGAGGGTTCTGTCTGTACTGACAGCTATGCACTGCAGCACATGATTTAAATAGATGTTCGTTCATGCTTGTGATGATGGCAGGAACGGCCCTTTTGCTTAAAAGGGTAGAGGATAGCCGCGGAACAGCCCTGGCGAATGAAGTACGAATATCCAAAGTACAAGCTTGCAGAGAATATCCGGTGTGCGCAGAATTTTCACAGTGCTCGAAAACTGTGTGTCCATCTCTAAACATGTGCATAGCTGCGCATTGTGGATACCCTTCGACATCGTAACCCTTCATATAGTTTCAGCGAGATAAACTCCACATCTGCAACCATAGTGTAGTGGTCAACATGCTTGCCTTCCAAGCAAGCGGCCCGGGTTCGAATCCCGGTGGTTGCACTCCTGCAGTTCTTTGACGGGTCTTTCGCATTTTTCTTTTTCATGTTCGGTTGCATCGGTAGTGGGCTCTCTCGTGTTTTCTTTTCCATGTTTGGACGGGCACATGTATTGCGACTTCTGGCAGAAACATTTGGTATTCTTTTTGAATTCAGAAAAGCGGAAGACAGACAAAGCCAAAATGCCGCCCTCAAAACGCCTCCCGTTCGATGATGGTAAGGACCTGTTCAACTTGATACTTCCCGGTTGACTTTGCATAGATAGTCTCTCAGCACATGTAAGGGGATATCTGATGGGGACAATCGTTCAGACATGCCGTGCTCCGTGCAGTATATCAGCAAAATGGCAAATCCATCGTCTTTTCCTGTCTCCATGGCCGTACGGGAGGGACAACCCAGGCATGGGGCAAGCTGATGCTGCTGCCGAAATTGGGTCCCAAATAACGGAGCGGAGGCGGTGTTGTGGATACCCATGGGCCCAATGTCATAGAATCATGCACGGAAACCATCATTGGGCAGTTTGGGCCTGATAACCTGTTGAATGAGGTGCACCAACAGTCCAGTCGGTTTGCACTGGTACGAGCATTGAAAGCTACAAAAAACATTTTGACAACTTGGGGAGAGAATGAAGGGAAGCATTCTTGGGAATACTCCTGCGCCTTAAAAATGGTTTCACTGACAAGTCAACACAGCATAACCTATCGCACTTCCGCCATCGTCGACGCCCTGCCGGTTATTGGAGTGAGGAGGAGTTGTGCAGGTGGGTACATAAATGAATGTGCGCAGCCGCGTGACATGGTTCCTATCCAGGTAGCTATTCGGTCAGTTGGGGAATCGGCATGCACATTGCTTCTACAACTCAGGATGCGGCCCCGTCTTTGACCCTCCAGGAGGAAGATAGTGTAAGGAAGCGGGTGAAGTCCCGCTTTCGTACACCTCATTCCTTGGCGGCACCCTTCCCGCGCTTCGTTTTTCACTTCTCTCACGCAGCGTAACGGTGTTGCCGAAAGTGTTGTCCGACATATTGCCTCAAAGCGAAATCGAAATAGGGCGCATAAAGCAGGAGCGGACTGTGGGGCGCTAAACGGTTCTCATCCGCTATTCGTCTCGTCGAAGTTGTGGTTCTTCTTTATTTTTTTCGTCTCACTGTAGCCAGTTTTCCTCGCTTTTGGTCACCCAGTCACAAAAAGGTTGCCATTAGATATTCAGGTGGACGTATGGTCCCATATTCCATGCTTGTTTGAGGCCGCCAGGCACTGCATTATCTTCCCACGTCTATACATTTGCTCCACTTCTCGGCAACCCGCAGTTCAACAACTGGGGCTGAGTTGACTACGTTCTGGTATTAAAGCTGGCCACATCGTCAAGGTCTTTCAGGCTTACAATTTCGCTACGACCGACACTGTTGTCCAAACCATCGCGGCCCGCGAAAAAGAGAAGCTTGTCCTACCCGTACCGCGGATATTCGATGATAGATAGGCCCGAAACCCCCATTATGCCTTGAGATAAAACGTCCATTGCCATATTCACTTCCACTGTAAGGACGTCTATGTCAACTTCATTTATGGGCACGCAGTCAAAAGAAGTGCCTGCCCGCCAGAACAATCCTTAGTCCACATCTTTACCGTCGCCGGGAATCTGGGAGTGGGATGGAAAATACACATTCCCCACCCTCCACTAATGCGACCCCGCTCACTGCCTTGGACTTACGAAGACACCGCGTGCTGCCCGTCACACGTTTTCAAACTAAACAAGACGGGGAACGCCAAAAAGAGTTGTTGCGACCACGTCCAGAGGTGTGAACGAATATGCTTAACAGCTTCCGCTGCTCCAGCTCCACATTGAAGAACCCGCTGCCTACGCACCACACGCCTCCAATGAAAAAAAGCTCTGGCTCGAGAGCGAGAATGAGGTCGTGAAAGTTTCATTATATTCCAGGACACCCTATTCTCCTTCCATTGTAACTATGACTGCGCACGCAGCACCACATGGTGACCCATCGTGCACTCACCACGACAAGCCGCGCTCAGATTATTCAAACCGAAGGAGAACCAAGTTGGTGTGGAAAAAAAGTCTTATTGCGCAAAAGCCATGGGATGGGTATAGCAAACCCCGCCTTCTGTCCGACTGACCCACCAACCAATGTATGATGAAATCGAACCCCCTGATCTACAGATACCCAGCGCACAGAACCGCGGATATGACGGGCAGCGTCCGAACTTTTTACATTTGCCCTCTTCCGTCTCTTTTCAATCCGCCAATCTTTGTCCATTTGTCGGGTCCTGCGCGAACGCAAAAAACGTTTATAGCAGCAAAATGTTGCGTTAACCGGCGTTAACCAACCGTAGGTTATCGGAAACACCCACAAATTCATCCTCAGGCAGCCCCGGTCTTCGCCGGCGCAAATGATTCCACACACCTTGTAATAGTCTAACCGTTCCCTACACCCTAAATGAAAGATGTGAAAAAAAGGTTTCACTCGAGCAAGAAGCTAATTAGGCCGGATGGCGGCTCTAGTACTCGCCACCGAAATAATCCTCCTTGTCCTTTATAGAACTCAAACCTAAAGCGACAACCCAAAAAGAAAAAAACAGGCCTTGGCCGCAGAGGTCCTAACCGCTGGGATGGGTTCCCACGCCCACATCAGCGACTGCACCGTCTTCCACGCGAAACTACTGAATGCAAACGCACCCCCGGTCAAGAACCAATTTCGGTGACCCCAACCAAAATACAATGGAAAATGGGTATCTCACCTTCCATTTTCACAACGCTGTGAGGTTATGGCGACCCATTCGTTCAAATTGTCGGCATTGGAGTAACACATCCACCCGCATCCATCCGCATCCATACCTTGGTTCCCACCATGTTTTTTTTTGGTGGGGGGCGGAAAGACCGATTATTGAAGCCCACACCACCGTACTCTTCCAACGCCAACGCAACTGCAACGGCAATTTATTTCATGTAAACTTGCCCAATACAAAGCTACTTCGTAGTAAACGGTTTCTGTGAAAAAATAAACACACAACAAATAGGTCCGACTCACCACCACATCAATCACCACGTTCTGGCGACCGATACATTCAACTAGACTACCTAATTTGCCGCGGGTGCGCCGCATCCATTCGCTATTCCGCAACGTCTTAACTTGTGTGGTGGGCGCGGGGATCGTACAGGTTTGTCTGCTGCGCTACGCTTAGGGGATGCCGTCGACGGGTCTCAATGCCCACACCATGCTCTTCACCGCAATACTGATCAAAATGTTACTGTATGACGACCCATTCGCTTAAATAGTTGCTGGGTGACGCATCAAATGCGAAAATAGCTTTTTCTATGTAGTCGTAAAAGAAGCACGCCCCTCTGTTCGGGCTGGAATGATGGGCGCCGCTGTAGAAACAAAACGGGGAAACTTGAAAGAACAAGGCCTTGGGGGGGCACTCGAGGACGCGCTCGATAGGTTCTCAAAACCCACATCGTGCTCAGGACGCAACCAGGAAAACATCCCCTTTCACAATCTCGCTCATACACTCACTCCACCTTCATTTAAGTCGAAACGTAAAAAAAAGAAGCAGTACAGGGTAAGACGCAATTTGGCCTGGACGCCGTTTCAAGCGCCTACAACCCACCGCAACACCACACGCAGCTTCGGTTTGTCGAATGCGAATTGTGTTCCATTGCGTTTCAAGCATCCATGGCCACCCGACTTAACGATCCTCCTATTCGTCGCAAAAACCAAGGACACGCTGTCTGTTCTTTATGAAATGCGCGGCCCACGCGGTCTGTTAAGAGACCAGGTCTGCCAATTCCTAGCAGTTGCCCTGTCGTGAGAGTGAATCCCATCCCATTCTGGCTTGAACGGGATCAGGGCATACCAAAAAAAACTGCTCTCCGCAAACTGCCCCGGCAATGCTCGATACAGGGATCGAACCTGTGACCTTGGCGTTACGACGTTGCCATGGCAACGGTATTAGCACCACGCTCTAACCAGCTGAGCTAATCGAGCGAATTAATCCTTCATTCTTGGCTGAATTGGCGGAGCGGCGGGTGGATTTTAACTGCCTTCCAGTTATTTTATGTTCTGGATACCTCGGGGATTGATTGATTGTGTATAAGCTGAGCTACTGGAGCCATTTCCTTCCTTTCTTTATTTAATGCGGGATAGTCGAAAAAATGTGATGGCACACGTGGGTGCTGCCAATGTTGTGTTGCAGGTTGTTGACGATAGGTCCGTAGTTGCGGTCGATGGTCGCGCGGGCGCCGACGAGAAAGTTCCATTCTGCGTCGCGGTACCGCGGGACTTTGACGTCCGTGTGGTGGAGGAAGGTGACCGGCGGAAAACAAAGACCCAAACCCCGAAAAGAGTATCGTACAGGCGGCAATTAGAATGCACTCGATGGGTTCTCAAACCCCACACTGCACTCCTCACCGGCAACCACATAACCAACTCCATCCACACTTCCGTTCACAAATTTGATCTCAAACAAAAAAAAATCCCTATTTCTCGCACACTACAAAATCACAATCCCTCACATGAAAAATCCTTCACATAAGTCCCTAACACTACACCTTCCCTCTTCCTCTCCTTCAATACACTCCTCAAATCGATGCTAACCTAATAATAGAGACACGAATCCCTAATTACTAAAAAGACAGAACAGTCCCTTCCATTCACGTTCACGAACGTCCGTAGGCGGGGCGGGAAGGCGGTTGGCCGGTTTGGTACCCACCCTGGGGTTGCTGCGGCTGGGAGGGGGGTTGTTGGTATGATGG